TTACACAAGCATATTATGCCTGATATTATAATGAACAGCATCAATGGGGAGCCCACAAAAGAGAAGCCCGCTGTTAAGCGCTCCGCTCTCGCGGGGCACACTCCGAGGAGTGTGTCCGTGCCTGTGATCTTGCGATTGCAGTCCCGAAATCCGGGTTCTACAGCCGTTACTTCATAGTTCCGAAGAAGGATGGGGGGTTGCGTCCCATGTTAGATCTACGTCATTTGAACCGCTCAGTCATGCGACTGAAGTTCAGGATGCTTACTCTCAAGCAGGTCATGTCTCAGATCAGGTCCGAGGACTGGTTTGTCACGATCGATCTAAAGGACGCATACTTCCATGTATCCATCGTTCCCACTCACAGGAAGTTCCTGAGGTTTGCTTTCGGGGGCAAAGTGTACCAATATCGTGTTCTTCCTTTCGGCCTTGCACTCTCACCCCGCACTTTCACAAAGTGTGTGGATGCAGCCCTGGCTCCGTTGCGACTCCAGGGCATCCGCATACTAAACTATATCGACGATTGGTTGATCTTAGCTCAGTCAGAGCAGATGGTGGTTCGGCATCGAGATGTCGTTCTCGCCCACATGAGAGCGCTGGGGTTAAGACTAAACGCCAGGAAGAGTGTGCTTTCTCCATTACAAAGGACCACTTATCTGGGCGTGGTGTGGGATTCGACCACCTTACTATCAAAACTACCTTCCTCTGGCGATATCTTCTCTCAAGAGAGGTGGGGATCTGCAGGCCCTTTCAGTGGCCCCTTCTTATCTTGACTTTGCGCCCGGTCTGACCAAAGCGTTTCTGTACCCTTATGATCTGGTGGATGGGTTGGAGACGGCTCGTCCTATCTCCACCCGTGTTCCCTAGATCTAGAGCTCGTTCTCGAGGCTGGAAGCCCGCGCTGCGGTTCTTCCCCCTCTGAGTGAGAGCTTGCTGATGCGGCCATCTTTTTTCTGAGGGGATTGATGTTGTTGGTGTGACTGAGTGGCTCGCGTGCTGCCGAGGCAACGCGTACATTACATCACTCGATTTCGATGTGAATCTTACTCACCAGACCGTATACCCCTCTGGTTGTTGACTGCATTTAATTCTGAGGAATAAAATGAAGTATTTTTCTGACTATGAGAAGTTAGATACACAGAGGCACTT